GCACGCGTCAGCTGGATTTTGCGTTCATACAGTTTATAAATTGTACGGTGTATGACACCCTTATCAAAGCTATCCAGTTTGTGTTTCCTACCTGGTTTTGATTTTGACACGACCCCTGAGGTAACTGATTCGTTTACAACTTTGTAAACCTGACTAATTAAGGGCTTTACACATTCTATAGTAAAGCCGGTCATAGCTGACGAGAGTTTTCCCCCTTTGTTTCTCCAGTATGAAATACTGGTATAAATTTGAAATTAATTGTTCTGCAGAGATATCAAGTCGCATGTTGCCAGTTCAATGCTCATACACAAAGTGAAACATCTATGGGTGAACAAGATTATCTATGCGATTTGAATTAAGCCTTTTTACGTAATTATCTTGAATATATCTACTACAAGCGTTCCTTCTTTTTCACATGTATATGTTAAAAAAAACACACAACTTTTTACAATCATTTATGTAATTTAATTAGTTGAGGCTATATGAATAATTATAGTCTGTATTTCAAAACTACATTTTGTACTTAGAATATTTACAAATGTTGTTAAAACGTCAAAATTTCCTCCTGTGAAGTCACCCCTCAATTGCATTTTTTCATCTGAGCTTTAATATCCAACTAGGTAGAGTCGTAAATGTATCATATATGTGCTTTAATCTTGTGTCAAATTCATCATATTGATATTAAAGCCAAAAAGCATTTTCCAAGCATTTCTGGCCTTACTTTAACTCTTGTTTTTCTCTTCCAGCCTTTGAGCGAACTAGTCGTCCTATCAACGGATATGACACGCTTGACCGCGGCATTGCTGTGAAGGAAGCCCCCACACACTGGTGGTGCTGAGGAAACACCCGTTGACTGTAAACTGTTCCGCACTTGTGGAGCAAGACTTCTATCCCGTTAGCTACCACTGGAAGAAGGATGGAGTGAAGATCAAAAGTCGAGGGGAACACGCTCGTGTCCGTGTCTTTAAGAATGGGACCCTCCACTTTAATCAGATTATTCATCGTGACCGCAGGAACAACATTCGAACGGACGAGGGATTTTACGAGTGTTTTGTGACTAATTCCGTAGGAACCATTATCGCGAGGCGGGTACAGATAAAGGTCGCACGTAAGTAGCTCCAAGATCGTCATCCACCAGCAGAGATCTACTGTGACCCAAGATTTAAATGGAGGATCTTGGGTCGTGAGATTTAGTACTCTTTCAGGGTTCGCACAGGATTGAACAAACCTAATATATGAACGTTTAACCCTAAATAGACCCTTCACTCATTTAAGCCTTGAAAAGCCCCAATTTTCCATTGATTAAGCAAAATTGTCAAGTACAGGAAACTAAAACCTGGCAATGACAATGTGTGTTAATTAATCATGTAGCCAAACCTTTCCAGCACCGTGATGTAGGTAACAGTTACTTCCCTTTGTTGGCCACACAATCGACCAAACTACTTATATGTTTTATATGCGTTTCTATTGGGCCTTGTTGATTGGGCACCAGTGTCACTTGCATGTTACACGTGTTCCAGGGAATAAACTTTTAGGCAGTAGTGTGTGTACCATGTCATGATATCAACAAGCTTTGTAAGTTTCAATTGATAAAATATTTTGTAAATCTTTGATCCATATAGAACATGTAAGGCACTATTTTCATTCAAGGATCTAAGGGGTTAGTGAATGAGGTTCACTGTATTGTAACTCATGAAGATCTTTAGACTTGATCTTCAACAACCCATGCTTGTCGTAAAAAGAGGCGAATAACGGTATCGGGTGGTCAGACTTGCTGACTTGTAGACACGTCATTGTATCCCAATTGCATAGATCTATGACCACTGTTGTTGTTGCTGTAGTCGCATTCTTGGGGTTGTTTATCACCATTCTTTTTTGTGAATTTGCAGGGCTCGATATAAGAGATGTTAACCTACTTGCACCAGGTGTAACCTAAGATAAAAACCTAGTTGCACCATCCAAATTCCAGTTGCACTGCTTTTATTGCAATATGTCAGTGTATGAAATACGCCCAAAACCCAGCCAGACATCTGGGTGGTAACTTCAGCCCAGAAGAGATTTAACTAGTCCTTCCTAAATACTAAATAGACAGTGCCAGTGGACACGTTATCTGAATATTTTTTTTCACCCATCCATCGGGCTGGCTAGCTGTAAAATTAGACCCTCCGACAGAAATCTAGCCTGTCTCAGGCAGTCGGACAGGCCTTATTTCATACACTGCATATGTAGATGCAATTATTTAAATGTTTTGTTCAGAAGTATACCCACTCAAAAATTGACTTGCACCTGGTGCAAGTTAGTCTTATAACTAGGTTGCACTTTGTAATATTGGGTTGCACCAGTGCAAGTAACAGAGCACTAAATCGGGCCCTGGTTTGTCTCTCCGTAATCTGTGTTTATGTTCCTTTACATACATTATACCATGCAATAATTGTAACAATTCCTTCTGTTTTAGGAATATCCAAAAAATTTTCTTTGGAGCCAATCTCCCAGAGCGCTGATGCTGGGACGACAGTGGTGTTTAACTGTTCCATACACGCTGTCACTGACGCGCACTTCGTCTGGGAGCGTAACAGGCAGCCAATCACAGCTGACAACTCTAAGTAGGTGGTCTGTGTTCTCATCAAGAAAACCCCGTTTGTAGCGCTACGACATTCGTAAGCCTATGTTGAACTATAGAGTTACGACAGGTCGTAGAGTTACGAACACTTTGTGGACCCTGGGTCGTAAAATATGTGTTTGTACAGTTGTGAGACACACTGAATTGTCTAGCATTCATGTTCTATTTTTACTTAATTTTACTAAATGAAGGGAGAGTGACTATTTTGACAATAATTTTATCTAAAGAAACTGTGTGTTCTGTCTTCCTTACAAAAACTAATCCTAAAAAATATTCAGGATCCTTAAATGTTTTTGCTTTTAAAGAAGCCTAACAGTTCGTTAACATAGTATATCTGTTGTGGGTTAAAATTGTAAAATTGCACGTACATCACTGGTCAATCATTACAGGCACATCACTGGTCAATCATTACAGGTACATCACTGGTCAATCATTACAGGTACATCACTGGTCAATCATTACAGGTACATGACTGGTAAATCATTACAGGTACATCACTGGTCAATTGTTGCAGGTACATCACTTGTCAATCATTACAGGTACATTACTGGTCAATCATTACAGGTACATCACTAGTCAATCATTACAGGTACATCACTGGTAAATCATTACAGGTACATCACTCAATCATTACAGGTACATCACTGGTCAATCATTACAGGTACATCACTGGTCAATCATTACAGGTACATCACTGGTAAATCATTACAGGTACATCACTGGTCAATTGTTTCAGGTACATCACTTGTCAATCATTACAGGTACATCACTGGTCAATCATTACAGGTACATCACTAGTCAATCATTACAGGTACATCACTAGTCAATCATTACAGGTACATGACTGGTAAATCATTACAGGTACATCACTGGTCAATTGTTGCAGGTACATCACTTGTCAATCATTACAGGTACATCACTGGTCAATCATTACAGGTACATCACTGGTCAATCATTACAGGTACATCACTGGTCAATCATTACAGGTACATCACTAGTCAATCATTACAGGTACATCACTGGTAAATCATTGCAGGTACATCACTTGTCAATCATTACAGGTACATCACTAGTCAATCATTACAGGTACATCACTGGTCAATCATTACAGGTACATCACTGGTCAATCATTACAGGTACATCACTAGTCAATCATTACAGGTACATGACTGGTCAATCATTACAGGTACATCACTGGTCAATTTGCAGGTACATCACTGGTAAATCATTACAGGTACATCACTGGTAAATCATTACAGGTACATCACTGGTCAATTGTTGCAGGTACATCACTTGTCAATCATTACAGGTACATCTCTGGTCAATCATTACAGGTACATCAATGGTCAATCATTACAGGTACATCAATGGTCAATCATTACAGGTACATCACTGGTCAATTGTTGCAGGTACATCACTTGTCAATCATTACAGGTACATCACTTGTCAATCATTACAGGTACATCACTAGTCAATCATTGCAGGTACATGACTGGTAAATCATTACAGGTACATCACTGGTCAATTGTTGCAGGTACATCACTTGTCAATCATTACAGGTACATCACTGGTCAATCATTACAGGTACATCACTAGTCAATCATTACAGGTACATCACTGGTAAATCATTACAGGTACATCACTGGTAAATCATTACAGGTACATCACTGGTCAATTGTTGCAGGTACATCACTTGTCAATCATTACAGGTACATCACTGGTAAATCATTACAGGTACATCACTTGTCAATCATTACAGGTACATCACTTGTCAATCATTACAGGTACATCTCTGGTCAATCATTACAGGTACATACTCTACCAATCAGGGAAACTGCAAATCAACCGTATAAAGCCTTCAGACGCAGGCAGCTACCGATGCCTCGTGGCCAACAAAGCGTTTTTTGACATCGACGGAGGTGCCACACATTTCCACTGGCGGAACAGTCGAGAAGCCTTCTTGACTGTGAACCAGGCACCAAGCAAGGGTACGGTCACACTGGGCGGTGGTGTAGCTGAGTGGTTAAAGTGTTCACTCGTCACGCTTATATAGACCCAGGTTTGATTCCTACATGGGTGCAATGCGTGAAGCCAATTGCTGAAAGCAGCGTAAAAGTAAACTCACTCACTCATGCCAAGTGTCAACAAGATTTTTTAAAATATTGCTACTTAATGATTACGTGAAAATATACAGGACATTTTGTCAGGTATCCCCATTACCGGATACCTATAAACAACTGCGTTAATACATATTTTTTGTTAACATCATTGTTACATAGTTTTGTTTGCTTGTTTTATATTCATGTTTTTATAAATGGCTATAATTTTTTTAATTTTAAACTACGTGTAATGATGTTTTGCTTCCAGTGACAGAGCCGTTCCTCCGGATCCTGGTGACCCCAGTTAACCAGACCTCTGTTATGAATGGTGACTCAACAACTATTGAATGCATCGCCCACGGCAACCCATCACCAACAATAACATGGACAAGGGATGGTGAGGCTAAAAAAAGATGTTTAATGATAACTGCAACCTCAAACGATGGACGAGGTGGCGGGGTAGTCTAGTGGTTAAAGCGTCCGCTCGTCACGCCGAAGACCCGGGGTCGATTCTCCACATGGGTACATTGTGTGAAGCCCATTTCTGGTGTCCCCTGCCGTGTTATTTCTGGAATATTGCTAAAAGCAGCGTAAAATCAAACTCACTCACTCACTCAAACAATGGATACTAACAGGCCAATATTCCCTGTGTTGTTTTCTTAGCTTTTACCCAGCACTCCACGATATTTTAGGTATATTTCATGTTTATCTGTAAATATCGAACCTGGACCAGACAATCCAGTGACTGATTTTATGTCTGTTACTGTCCGTGTTTGTACTTAGCCAGTTGTGTTGTTTCAGGGAACGAGGTGCTGTTTGATGAGGTTGAGAAGTGGTACGGAGGAAGTCTTCATTTCAGGAAAGTCTGGAGAAAACATGCTGGTGTTTACAAATGTCATATCACGCAGCCCGGCTCTGACAGGGCATATGAATACAACACCACTCTTCGTGTACTTGGTGAGTGTCACGTCACGCAGCCAGGCTCTGACCGGCGTCTACACTATTGACCATAAATCAGCTTCTTTTGGGGCAAGGTTCTGTAGGAGCACACAATGACCAATCATATCCCAGATAGGCTTCAAAGGGTTAAGATCGGGGCTCATTCAATCATGAGATATGTCAGGGGGTGCTAAACTTAGTTCTTTGTGTATATTATCAAGGATTTTAAACAAATTCGCTCTGGCAGCCATACTGGGGAAATATTCTTTACATTGTTAAAAAATTCAGATTTTTAAAGGTTCTGTAATTCTAAAATTGCAGGTATTTTAACATTGTACTTTGAAAGTGTATTCAACGCAAAAATGGATCATATAAAATTAAGGACTTTAACAGCTTCCATTACCTGCTCTAAAATTAGTTCAGAAACTATTTATTATCTTTAACAGCTTGAATTTTTACACTTATCCTATCTCACTGTATGCACTTCTCTTTCTACTTCGACCAAGGCATGGAAATCAAATCTTCTGGCCTCTCTCCCACCCAACCGCTCCCCCGCTGTCTGGACCTGACGGCTCTACAATCCGGCACGCTGTCTAAACCGGATTATTTCTTCTGTCCCAATGTGTGCCAGTTTAGACAGCTTCCACTGTACTGTCATTTTCTTTCTTGTCGCCCACTGGTGTGGACGTGTGTTATGCTCTGTCTGCCACTCGTCTCTACTTGTCATCATGAGGAAGTAATCGATCTGCCCGGAAGAGATAACACTGTGACAATTACAGAAGTATTGTTTTCTGCCGCTGATCCTCATACACTGTGTGTTGATTGTATCGGATGGTGTGACGGGCCTCACCGCTGCTCTTATTGTACCAATTTGGACGCTGAATGGGCACAAGACGAGTGGCAGACAGGGATTGTCGGAAGCTTTCCGAGGGTCCATCATCATTTCAACATTCGAAGCGAGATCGTCTGTACTAAACAGCTCACAGTTCATCACCATCACCGGATGAAGATGTCTCGATGCAGCATTGGATTCCTACCTTAGCGAGAATAAGGTTGTTTTTTCCGACCCCAGACTTAGAGTCCAGTATCGGGACAGGATGACTCCCCCACTCCGGTAGTGAACTTCATACTTTGCCATCACAGTCCCGATTCACAGGTCTAGTGACTTTTTCTCAAACACCTGATACGGCATTGTCAGCGCCTACTGGCAATGTGTCTCTAATTTTCTGGATCGGCAATAAACTCACCTACAATGATTTATTGTAGTGCGAGCTTGTCTACGGCGATCCCTCCAAGTCCAATGATGGTATCAAGTTCAACAATACCTGTTAGTTCAGCGTTTCCCTGGACCTAGTGCACCGCTTCCTTTCCTTTATTGCGCCGATAATGTATGGGTCAATTGTTCACTCCAGTGAGTCGCTGTCACACAATTCGACGCTCCAGAGCGGATCTACGGCAGTACGCTTCTGTCTGGTTCGTCACTGCAGGCCACAGCGCCGCTTCAGTTCGGTCCAGCACTTTGTACCAGTGCGTCGCTCTCACAAAAGGAAGAAGAGGCCAGGGCACCGTTTCACTTCTGTTCACTCTCGTTCGGTCCGACTCTTTAGCCCAGTGCTCTGCTTTTGACTGGATCAACAATTCAGCCCAGTGTGCCTTTATGATTGGAACAACGCTTCAGACCAGTGCTCCGTTTTCGATTGGAACAACGCTTCAACCCAGTGATTTGTTTTTTCGATTGGAACAACATTTCAATCCAGTACACCATTACCGTATGGTATGGGCACTTTGGACGAGTGCTCCGGTCTCGATTAACTCAGTGCTATAGATCACGTGGCCGAACTGGATCACCCTGTGGAACCAGATCACTTGACCGAACCGGATCACAGTGAGTACTATTTCAGATCTTCTCTAACCGAACCAACCTAGATCTCAGAACCAATCCTGATCGCTGAACCATACCAGATTGCCGCTCCAACAGTATTCGCTGATCTGACATTGTTCGCTGAACTCTCAGCTTTCGCTGAATCATCTGATTACCTCTATGCGCCTACTGTCAACATGACATTTTGCTAGTTTGCAACTACGTTAACTACAGTGACTTTTCCTACTGCGAGTTCACCTTCAACAATTCTTCCAACTTAGGCGTTGATGACTCATTCTACAGTTTCTACTGGTGCTCAGCTTGGCTTTAGAGTTAGGCTTCCTGCTTCTGGGGTGTCCATGTACGGACAGAGTGTTCACTCCAATGTGCCGCTTTCATTTAGTTTGGCGCTTCAGAGCGCACCTCGGGTTTTGAATGGCTCGTCTCTACACACCAATGCGCCGCTTCAGCCCAGTGCAGCGCTTTGTCCCAATGCGCCGCTTTCTTATATATCTCTTATGTATCAACGCTTCCATCCAGTGCATCGTTTCTGCTGGTTGCACAGAGGTAGTAGTTCAAGGGTTGTTCCCTCTTTCACCGCCTTCCAGCGTGTGTCTGTGGGGGATGTTTTCGAAGCAGGGTCTGGCCAGATTAAGGTCTCTGTCTTTAATATACTGGGGCTTCTGAAAAACCACGGGGAAGCGGGGTCTACTTGCCAAACTGCGTCCTTTTGCTTGTCAAAAGTTACGGCTGAAAACCACATTAATTTGGGACTGCCCACTCCCTAGAGTTTTTTGTGTTGTGTAAGCCAAGGGGTTTATCACACAGAAGCAGCCCATCACAAGTTCGGAGTTAGCATATCGGGAGTTGGTCCTTTCTCTCGGCCTCCTTGTGTTACGCGACCTCACGGTTGTGGAGTTGACACAGGGTAATCTGAGGCCCACCAGCCAATCGTGGAATAATGCATACAGTGAGATAGAATCAGTTTAAAAATTTGGAAATTTTAACTATAAATTGTACATTATAGACTTATCCTATCTCACTCGATGAATTCCCACCCGACCTTCCACGCATCACAGATTGCTTGAAGCTCCAAGATGAGAATGACAGTAGTGGGACGTCATGTGACCATCTGAGCGCTTAGCACGCTTTACAGAGATGATTGACAGGTCCAGCTATATGAGCGGGGGAGCAGTTGGATGGGAGAGAGGCCAGAAGATTTGATTCAACTTAGCCTACAGCACATTTCCACGCCTCGGTCGAAGTAGAGAGAGAAGTGCATACAGTGAGATAGGATAAGAATATAAATATACAATTTATAGTTCAACTTTGTTGTTCTAATTTTGAATTCTGTTTGTGTTGTATCAGTTCGCCCTGTGATCGAGATCGGGCCACAGAGCGCCACCCACCCTGTTGCCAGGAACATTGTGTTGGAGTGTAAGGTGAATGGAGAGCCGCCTCCTACAGTGCACTGGCTGAAGGACGGACAGAAGGTGTTTACTGGCGGACAGTTCAGAACGGTGAGATTGTATAGCTGGTCAGTGATTGGTCTGTTTGTCACCAGCATGTGATCATTGGAGTCATATAAACATTTGGTCTGAAGTGATTTAAAAAAAATGAAATAGATTTGATTTAAATGATATTTTGCATGTCTGATTGTGACACCTGTCTGTAAGTGTGACATCTGTCTGTCTGTAAATGTGACACCTGTCTGTCTGTATCTGTGACACCTGTCTGTCTGTAAACGTGACACCTGTCTGTAAGTGTGACATCTGTCTGTCTGTAAGTGTGACACGTGTCAGTCTGTATCTGTGACACCTGTCTGTCTGTAAACGTGACACCTGTCTGTAAGTGTGACATCTGTCTGTCTGTAAATGTGACACGTGTCTATCTGTATCTGTGACACCTGTCTGTCTGTAAACGTGACACCTGTCTGTAAGTGTGACATCTGTCTGTCTGTGTGACACGTGTCAATCTGTATCTGTGACACCTGTCTGTCTGTAAATGTGACACCTGTCTGTAATTGTGACACATGTCTGTCTGTATCTGTTACACCTGTCTATCTTATCTGTGACACCTGTCTGTATGTAACTGTGACATCTGTCTTTTTATCTGTGACACCTGTCTGTATGTAACTGTGACATCTGTCTATCTAATCTGTGACAGCTGTCTGTCTGAAGCTGTAACACCTGTTTGTATGTAACTGTGACACCTGTCTGTATGTAACCATGACACCTGTGTCTGTAACTGTGACAACTGTCTGTATGTAACTGTGACACCTGTCTGTATGTAACTGTGACACCTGTCTGTCTGAAACTGTGACACCTGTCTGTATGTAACTGTGACACCTGTCTGTATGTAACTGTGACACCTGTCTGTCTGTAACTGTGACACCTGTCTGTATGTAACTGTGACACCTGTCTGTATGTAACTGACACCTGTCTATGTAACCATGACACCTGTCTGTATGTAACCATGACACCTGTGTGTCTGTAACTGTGACACCTGTCTGTATATAACTGTGACACCTGTCTGTATGTAACCATGACACCTGTGTGTATGTAACTGTGACACCTGTCTGTATGTAACCATGACACCTGTGTGTCTGTAACTGTGACACCTGTCTGTTTGTAACCGTGACACCTGTGTGTCTGTATCTGTGACACCTGTCTGTCTGTAACTGTGACAACTGTTTGTCTGTAACTGCGACACCTGTCTGTATGTAACTGTGACACCTGTCTGTATGTAACTGTGACACCTGTCTGTATGTAACTGTGACACCTGTCTGTATGTAATCATGACACCTGTCTGTCTGTAACTGTGACATCTGTCTGTGTATAACTGTGACACCTGTCTTGTCTGTAACTGACACCTGTGTATGTAACTGACACCTGTCTGTATGTAACTGTGACACCTGTCTGTCTGTATCTGTGACACCTGTCTGTCTGTAACTGTGACACCTGTCTGTATGTAACTGTGACACCTGTCTGTATGTAACCGTGACACCTGTGTCTGTATCTGTGACACCTGTCTGTCTGTAACTGAAACTGACACCTGTCTGTATGTAACTGTGACACCTGTCTGTCTGTAACTGTGACACCTGTCTGTCTGTAACTCTGACACCTGTCTGTCTGTAACTGTGATACCTGTCTATCTGAAACTGTGACACCTGTCTATCTGAAACTGTGACACCTGTTTGTCTGTAACTGTGACACATGATTTTTGTCCGAACAGCTGGTGCAAGAAGACCGGAACCAGTTGCGTATTTACGGCGTGGAGGACGTCCACTCAGCGTACTATCAGTGTCTTGCCGATAACGAGGGGGGCAGTGCCTCCTCCATCGCCAGGATCAAGATACAGCTCATGAGTAAGCACCTCTTCCACCTCTTGTGATAGGAGACCTGTGAAGATCCGGGTTAGAATTGATCTTCAGCAACCATGCTTGTCGTAATAGGCGACTATCTGGATCAGGTGGTCAGACTCACCGACTTGGTTGACAATTTATCGTATCCCAATTGCATAGATAGATGCTCATGCTGTTTATCACTCGATTTTATCTGGTCCAGACTTGATTATTTACAGACTGGAATATTGCGGAATGTGGCGTTTAACAACAAACCAACCAATCCTGTGATAGGTAGCTCACAATTTCACTGTGTATTGAATGTATTATGTGCTTGATGAACCTTAATGTATGGCTGAAATTCTTCAGACATGGCCGTGTCCAATATAAACCATCTTTAAATCGAGGAGGGCGAAAGGGTAGCAAAGTGGTTAAAGCCTATGTACGTCATGCCTAAGATCCAGGTTCAAATCCCAACATGGTCTATTTGTGAAGACCCTTTCTGGGGTCCCTCACTAGGCTGTACAATGCACTGAACTATCGATGGATTGCAATTGTTGGTGTCCTCCCATTACGCAGACAGCCAGTTCTCAGACACCTTAAAACAACAACATTTATGGTTCAGTGAACAGATTATCCACTACCTGTTACCTACACATTATAATGGAATAGTCCAAATAAAAACACAGGAACAAACTGAAGCTATATTATTTATTCGGAAAGATGGACGAAAAGGATGTAATTTGAATTTTTATTGCTGCAATATAAAAACAGTTTATTTTCATAAATATTTCGGTTTAACCTTCTAGTCTAACAGGAGTCGGCATCATCATATTGAAAACATTAGCTTAGCTGTTAGAAATTGCGACACTGTTGTATCCTATAAATCAAATAAAGACAAATGTTAACCTAAATATTATTCATATGGAATAAAGAAGTTATATGTTTTGCACAAAATATTAAGATATATGATGAGTGCACTTAATTATGATTTATTTAGAATAAATATTTAAAATATGACACATCATGTGAATGTGGCCATGGATGTGAGAATGTTTTTCATTACTTCCTTGAATGTTTATTGTATACTACTCAAAGACATAAACTGTTACAATCTTTAGAAAGTATTGTTGAAATCAGAACACTGATTGGTATTAATCGTTTCTTACATGGCAATGTCTCATTTACTGCAAATCAGAATGTTTTCAAATATGAACATATCTATATCTCTCCAACAAACCGTTTTCTCAGTTAACTTCTGTTGTACATTTGCTATTATTGGGAGGGGTCTTTTCTATCAATAAACACAATCAAACCTCTCAGTGACAAACCTGTTTTTATATTCGATAGTAATTGATAGTAAAATCAATTTTGAGAAGAGAAATCATTTATCATTTAATCACAACAAAGTTCTATTTACCCACAATCAAACTTTTTAGTAACGAACCTGTTTCAGGCTCACCCTGCTCTACTCACTGGACAGTGGACTGTTCCATTATACCCGTAGGTGTTACCCTAATTAACCTTCTAGTTCAGTGTCTGTCAATTGGGTGTCTGTCAAATGGGTGTCTGTCAATTGGGTGTCTGTCAAATGGGTGTCTGTCAATTGGGTGTCTGTCAAATGGGTGTCTGTCAAATGGGTGTCTGTCAATTGGGTGTCTGTCAATTGGGTGTCTGTCAAATGGGAGATAACCCAATTGTTGAGTCTCCAATAGCAATTATTCGATGGTAGAAACGAAAAACTATCAGTGCATCGATAGTAGGTGTGACTATTAATAGTTTAGTATTTGACTTCCGTTGGTAAATGTGCAGCACAAAATACAGGAAGTACCAGATTCGTTCCCATTGATTTAGAGTTGTCCGCCCCTTTTACCTCTTAAACTAGCTTGACTGTTTACTTGATCAGGGTTTCAAGTTCCTTGTCAGTTATTAAAAGACACTGTAACTACTTCAGCTTGTTTTTGTTTCATATAAACTGTACATTCATTTGAGACATGTCTTCAAATGAGACAATTCAAGGAGAAAAAAACTACTGCAATTGTATTAAGGCTTCCCTCTTAAACTGACGTGCCGGGATATTTCTGGAACTCTGGTCTGATCAGTGTTAAACAAAACTGACGTGCCGGGATATTTCTGGAGCTCTGGTCTGTTCAGTGTTAAACAAAACTGACGTGCCGGGATATTTCTGAAGCTCTGGTCTGATCAGTGTTAAACACAACTGATGTGCTGGGATATTTCTGGAACTCTGGTCTGATCAGTGTTAAACAAAACTGACGTGCCGGGATATTTCTGGAGCTCTGGTCTGTTCAGTGTTAAACAAAACTGACGTGCCGGGATATTTCTGGAGCTCTGGTCTGATCAGTGTTAAACAAAACTTACGTGCGGGATTTTCTGGAGCTCTGGTCTGATCATAGTTAAACACAACTTACGTGCCGGGATATCTGTGGAACTCTGGTCTGATCAGTGTTAAACAAAACTGACGTGCCGGGATATTTCTGGAGCTCTGGTCTGTTCAGTGTTAAACAAAACTGACGTGCCGGGATATTTCTGGAGCTCTGGTCTGATCAGTGTTAAACAAAACTTACGTGCCGGGATTTTTCTGGAGCTCTGGTCTGATCATAGTTAAACACAACTTACGTGCCGGGATATCTGTGGAGCTCTGGTCTGATCAGTGTTAAACACAACTGACGTGCCAGGATATTTCAGGATCTCTGCTCTGATCAGTGTTAAACACAACTGACGTGCCGGGATTTTTCTGGAGCTCTGGTCTGATCAGTGTTAAACACAACTGATGTGCCGGGATATTTCTGGAGCTCTGGTCTGATCAGTGTTAAACACAACTTACGTGCCAGGATATTTCAGGAACTCTGCTCTGATCAGTGTTAAACACAACTGATGTGCCGGGATATTTCTGGAACTCTGCTCTGATCAGTGTTAAACACAAGTGATGTGCTGGGATATTTCTGGAGCTCTGGTCTGATCAGTGTTAAACACAAGTGATGTGCCGGGATATTTCTGGAACTCTGGTCTGATCAGTGTTAAACACAACTGACGTGCCAGGATATATCTGGAACTCAGGTCTGATCAGCGTTAAACACAACTGACGTGCCGGGATATTTCTGAAGCTCTTGTCTGATCAGTGTTAAACACAACTGATGTGCCGGGATATATCTGGAACTCTTGTCTGATCAGTGTTAAACACAAGTGACATGCCGGGATATATCTGGAACTCTGGTCTGATCAGCGTTAAACACAACTGATGTGCCGGGATATATCTGGAACTCTGGTCTGATCAGCGTTAAACACAACTGACGTGCCGGGATATATCTGGAGCTCTGGTCTGATCAGTGTTAAACATAACTGACGTGCCGGGATATTTCTGGAGCTCTGGTCTGATCAGTGTTAAACATAACTGACGTGCCGGGATATTTCTGGAGCTCTGGTCTGATCACAACTGATGTACAACAGGGAACACATTTTGCTGTATTCTGAATGCATCAGCAAAGACGGGCAAATTTCACAGGTTTACAAGGTGCTGATTTTCAAGGACTGTTCATTATTTAGGCAGAAGCATGTACAAAATCATTTACACACACACACACACCCACACACACACACACACACACACACACACACACACACTAATTTTAAGCATAATTTTTACTACTATTTTTATGTACAAAATATTTGACCCCCCCTTAGTACATGTGTACAAAATTGATGACCCCCCTACCTCCCCAGAACCAAATGGGTGACCCCAAATTAAAATCATCATCACCCCCCCTAGCCATAAATTATGAACGGTCCCTTAGTGTAAAGTATTGGGATATTACGAGATGATATATTATAAAACGTTATTCTTCGTGTGACAGACGATGCTCCTAACAGCCCTGTACATGTGCACGTGAAGGTCTTATCAAAGGCAGAGGCAGAAGTCACTTGGACTATCCAAAAGAAGAAGAATGCCTCGAAACCTGTCTTCTCCTACACAGTGCACTACCGAGAGGATAAACGTGAGTTACCTCCCTTATTGTCTGCTTAAAATGGTACTGATCTTGAGCAATTCCTGGTATTGGTTGTTGCCTTTCTTATTGATTTCTGCTCATGGATACCTGGACAATATCCCGGAATTCTTGAATGGTTTGCAACCCGAAAGATTTTGGGGATATTTTTTATGAAATTGTGTGTGCTTGCTACAGTATAAAAAATATTCTGCAAAATATTCAATATCCTTAACTTATTTGCCCAGAATATAACATGTAATTTAAAGCTTAAAAAATATGTAAATGTATGTAATAGATATGTAAATATATCTAATAAGTATGTAATGAATATGTAATGACTATGTAATGAATATTTAATAAATGTCATGAATATGTGATAATTATATAATGAATATGTAACAAATATGTAATGATTATATAAAAAATATATAAATATGTAATAAATATGTAATAAATATGTAATAAATATGTTATAAGAATGTTATTAATGTCGAGTAATAGGTTACATATTGAAGTTGTTTCCCCGAGGTTGGTAAAGATAACTATATGGTTGAAGTGGCCTGGCTAGCTATGCTTGAAACGTTCGTAGCCCAAAGAACTTCTTAAGCCTATTCTTAACACATTGGCTTTGATCAAAGTTAAGATTTCTTATGGTTACGAACATTTCGAGAATAAGGGCTCTGCTTACCAGTCATATTCCCCAGCAGCTGGCGTAGAGGAAGAGTTGTGTGCCCTTGTTGTCCCCAAACCAATGTTTGAATTCAAACTCCATAATCCCGTGATTCCATATCTTATGGATACAGAAATATTGCTAAATTGAAACTTGTTGCTATATGGCTGAGGTGATGCTGATGCAATTCTAAATTTGATCTCTCACTCACTCACTCACTCACACATTTGGCTTGTCAGACTGGTGTTGGTATCAGCAAAGATTGCCATTTCTTTGGGCTTTCCCTTTTACACAGCTAAATGATGTGATATTTTATTGACTGAAATGCTGTTCAAAGCAGAGTTACACCTAAATCACTCAAGCATAGGTTGCTAGTTAACAGAATGCTAGAGCGGTGGTGTAGCCTAGTGGTTAAAGTGTTTGCTCATCATGCCAAATACCCGGGTTCTATTCCCCGGATGTTTACAATTGTAAGCGGGGTAAGGAATACAGAGAGTTTTTGATCTTCTATAGAGAGACTTTATTGTTCATTGTGGATGGATGAATCCATGTAACGAAAAACCTACAACAAAAGACAAGGCAGTTTGTCAGGACATGCCGAGATACATACTCTTATCAACAAATCATACTATAATTCAAATACAATAGACATGATAATTACTACTTATTGATGTTGACCAGCAAAAGTATTACATATGATCAATCAATAATATAACATCACTCCTGACTTTTTGAACAATAGATGAAATGTACATGAACTGAGGTTGATTAATTACCATGGCTGAAAATATCAGTAACATTCAAACCCTCTCTACACATGAATCTTATTACAATACAAAATATCCTATGAGACGTGTTACGCTTCACGGCTGAGAATTACAAAATGCAATTAATGTTAATAATTATGAAAATGAGGATGTACAGAACTGCCCCTTTAACTCACCCCCAGGAGAACACTCCTTTCAGCAACGGTCAGTGGTCACATGACCCAGGGCACGGACCAACTAGTCCTAATATCAAAACAATAATTATACTTAGTACAATAATAACCAAACGTTATTATGCAGTAAAATACAATATAATTCTAACAACTGTGCATAGAAATGGCATAGTTTATGAATATAATCGAGGAGAGGTAATCAGAAACATTTGTAAACAAAACACTGCACAACGAGGGAGGGAGGTAACTCTTTGTGATCATCACGAACAAAGAAAAACTCGCTTGTTTCGACCCATAATGGTCATACAAAACTATTCTACAAATAACAACAATTTCAGTGAATAATTTACAATTCACTCGCAATAAAATATGTTGAAACAAAGACTAGGATTACTAATACTAAAAGCACGTGGACTACACACAAGTTGTTGTGAATCTTGTGAGGATGACCCTCTCGCTTGTGCTTGAATGTTATGAATGAAATATTACAAAACAGGGCCTTTCTAACACATCTAACCTATTGTGAACATAAAAGCAAAACACTACGAGCCAAGAGCATGTACTCACATTGAAACTGTTGTGACTAGCAGAAGAATTGACTTGTCTGCTTGAAAACTGCGCTACATCTGAGAGGTGATGGCGCGAAATGGAACAATAGCGAACTGCACTATGGGAAAAGATTTTATATCTTTTTACATCAAACACCTAAAAGTTGGATAAACGTTAATGGAACATATTATTTTTAATGATAAATAGATTAGAAAGATTTATAATTACGAAAATGGTGTACTAGTATTTGTTGGTGATATGAAATTCATGTTTCCGACTACTTCCGGAAACTGCCGAAGATTGCAACGTGAAAACAAGGGCAAAACAAATGTATATAGAAACTCCTTTACACAATGTATGAAGCTCATTTCTGGTGTCCCCTGACATGATCTTGCTGGAATATTGCTAGAAGTCATAAAACCATACTCATTCACTCACAGAATGTCGTAAAATGTCTCTGAATTTGTTTTCTGGGGTAGTGACCGGAGAAGAGAAGTTGTTTATATCCCATGAAGCCAAAATGACGTTGCACAACCTGCAGCCAGGAACCAACTACACCGTGTACGTAAAGGCGTATAACTTTGCCGGTGCCAGCCCCAGCTCGGAGGTGGTACGCTTCACCACCCTGGATTCCTGTAAGTATTTGCCCAACCAGTTATCTGCCTTCCCCAGACACTCTGGCCCACTCAGTGATGACATACTCCACCACCAAGGTCTCCTGTAAGTCTGCCTCCCATTCCTTCCCTGCCTTCTCCAGACGCTCTGGCCCACTCAGTGATGACACACTCCATCACCAAGGTCTCCTGTAAGTCTGCCTCCCAACCCTTCTCTGCCTTCTCCAGACACTCTGGCCCACTCAGTGATGACATACTCCACCACCAAGGTCTCCTGTAAGTCTGCCTCCCATCCCTTCCCTGCCTTCTCCAGACACTCTGGCCCACTCAGTGATGACACACTCCATCACCAAGGTCTCCTGTAAGTCTGCCTCCCAACCCTTCCCTGCCTTCCCTAGACACTCTGGCCCACTCAGTGATGACACACTCCACCACCAAGGTCTCCTGTAAGTCTGCCTCCCAACCCTTCTCTGCCTTCTCCAGACACTCTGGCCCACTCAGTGATGACACACTCCACCACCAAGGTCTCCTGTAAGTCTGCCTCCCAACCCTTCCCTGCCTTCCCTAGACACTCTGGCCCATTCAGTGATGACACACTCCACCACCAAGGTCTCCTGTAAGTCTGCCTCCCAACCCTTCTCTGCCTTCTCCAGACACTCTGGCCCACTCAGTGATGACACACTCCATCACCAAGGTCTCCTGTAAGTCTGCCTCCCAACCCTTCTCTGCCTTCTCCAGACACTCTGGCCCACTCAGTGATGACACACTCCATCACCAAGGTCTCCTGTAAGTCTGCCTCCCAACCCTTCTCTGCCTTCTCCAGACACTCTGGCCCACTCAGTGATGACACACTCCACCACCAAGGTCTCCTGTAAGTCTGCCTCCCAACCCTTCTCTGCCTTCTCCAGACACTCTGGCCCACTCAGTGATGACATACTCCACCACCAAGGTCTCCTGTAAGTCTGCCTCCCAACCCTTCTCTGCCTTCTCCAGACACTCTGGCCCACTCAGTGATGACACACTCCACCACCAAGGTCTCCTGTAAGTCTGTCTCCCAATCCTTCTCTGCCTTCTCCAGACACTCTGGCCCACTCAGTGATGACACACTCCATCACCAAGGTCTCCTGTAAGTCTGCCTCCCAACCCTTCCCTGCCTTCTCCAGACACTCTGGCCCACTCAGTGATGACACACTCCATCACCAAGGTCTCCTGTAAGTCTGCCTCCCAACCCTTCTCTGCCTTCTCCAGACACTCTGGCCCACTCAGTGATGACACACTCCATCACCAAGGTCTCCTGTAAGTCTGCCTCCCAACCCTTCCCTGCCTTCCCCAGACACTCTGGCCCACTCAGTGATGACATACTCCACCACCAAGGTCTCCTGTAAGTCTGCCTCCCATCCCTTCCCTGCCTTCTCCAGACACTCTGGCCCACTCAGTGATGACACACTCCATCACCAAGGTCTCCTGTAAGTCTGCCTCCCAACCCTTCTCTGCCTTCTCCAGACACTCTGGCCCACTCAGTGATGACATACTCCACCACCAAGGTCTCCTGTAAGTCTGCCTCCCATCCCTTCCCTGCCTTCTCCAGACACTCTGGCCCACTCAGTGATGACACACTCCATCACCAAGGTCTCCTGTAAGTCTGCCTCCCAACCCTTCCCTGCCTTCCCTAGACACTCTGGCCCACTCAGTGATGACACACTCCACCACCAAGGTCTCCTGTAAGTCTGCCTCCCAACCCTTCCCTGCCTTCCCTAGACACTCTGGCCCATTCAGTGATGACACACTCCACCACCAAGGTCTCCTGTAAGTCTGCCTCCCAACCCTTCTCTGCCTTCTCCAGACACTCTGGCCCACTCAGTGATGACACACTCCATCACCAAGGTCTCCTGTAAGTCTGCCTCCCAACCCTTCTCTGCCTTCTCCAGACACTCTGGCCCACTCAGTGATGACACACTCCACCACCAAGGTCTCCTGTAAGTCTGTCTCCCAACCCTTATCTGCCTTCCCCAGACACTCTGGCCCACTCAGTGATGACATACTCCATCACCAAGGTCTCCTGTAAGTCTGTCTCCCAACCCTTCTCTGCCTTCTCCAGACACTCTGGCCCACTCAGTGATGACACACTCCACCACCAAGGTCTCCTGTAAGTCTGTCTCCCAACCCTTCTCTGCCTTCTCCAGACACTCTGGCCCACTCAGTGATGACACACTCCACCACCAAGGTCTCCTGTAAGTCTGTCTCCCAACCCTTCTCTGCCTTCTCCAGACACTCTGGCCCACTCAGTGATGACACACTCCATCACCAAGGTCTCCTGTAAGTCTGCCTCCCAACCCTTCCCTGCCTTCTCCAGACACTCTGGCCCACTCAGTGATGACATACTCCATCACCAAGGTCTCCTGTAAGTCTGCCTCCCAACCCTTCTCTGCCTTCTCCAGACACTCTGGCCCACTCAGTGATGACACACTCCATCACCAAGGTCTCCTGTAAGTCTGCCTCCCAACCCTTCCCTGCCTTCCCCAGACACTCTGGCCCACTCAGTGATGACATACTCCACCACCAAGGTCTCCTGTAAGTCTGCCTCCCATCCCTTCCCTGCCTTCTCCAGACACTCTGGCCCACTCAGTGATGACACACTCCATCACCAAGGTCTCCTGTAAGTCTGCCTCCCAACCCTTCTCTGCCTTCTCCAGACACTCTGGCCCACTCAGTGATGACATACTCCACCACCAAGGTCTCCTGTAAGTCTGCCTCCCATCCCTTCCCTGCCTTCTCCAGACACTCTGGCCCACTCAGTGATGACACACTCCATCACCAAGGTCTCCTGTAAGTCTGCCTCCCAACCCTTCCCTGCCTTCCCTAGACACTCTGGCCCACTCAGTGATGACACACTCCACCACCAAGGTCTCCTGTAAGTCTGCCTCCCAACCCTTCCCTGCCTTCCCTAGACACTCTGGCCCACTCAGTGATGACACACTCCACCACCAAGGTCTCCTGTAAGTCTGCCTCCCAACCCTTCTCTGCCTTCTCCAGACACTCTGGCCCACTCAGTGATGACACACTCCATCACCAAGGTCTCCTGTAAGTCTGCCTCCCAACCCTTCTCTGCCTTCTCCAGACACTCTGGCCCACTCAGTGATGACACACTCCACCACCAAGGTCTCCTGTAAGTCTGTCTCCCAACCCTTCTCTGCCTTCTCCAGACACTCTGGCCCACTCAGTGATGACATACTCCATCACCAAGGTCTCCTGTAAGTCTGCCTCCCAACCCTTCTCTGCCTTCTCCAGACACTCTGGCCCACTCAGTGATGACACACTCCATCACCAAGGTCTCCTGTAAGTCTGCCTCCCAACCCTTCCCTGCCTTCTCCAGACACTCTGGCCCACTCAGTGATGACACACTCCATCACCAAGGTCTCCTGTAAGTCTGCCTCCCAACCCTTCCCTGCCTTCTCCAGACACTCTGGCCCACTCAGTGATCCGTCACCAAGGCCTGTTGTTAGTATTGCACATCTGTATCTTCACATAAAAGACTGAACTGCTTCTGTACTTTGAATCCTGCTCTCTGTGGCATTTCAGTGTTCTATCATTCACCAGTCCTAACAGCTTTGTCTCTCCCTTCAGTACCAAGGGGCTTCCCCACACCAACGCTCGACAGTACAAGCTCCTTTACAGTGCTGGTCAAGTGGCAACCCCTGCCTAAAGAGCTGCGAGGTGGCACCATTGTCAATTACCGCATCTACTACGGCCTGTGCGACACCGACATCATCAGTAACGTTGAAGTTGAAGGACACACCTACAAGTACCTCATCACCGGTGTGTTCGATGTTCGTTGTGGCAGAACATTCCCAAACATAGTGAAGTTACAGTCCGTTTGATTTCTTTTGAGACCGATGAATTGCTCACAAACACAAAATCTAATACATGCAACAAAACCAAATTTTCTTGTCACTTATTGCTATTATTTACGAGGGGGATGGGGGGAAGCACTTGCTGGTAGAACAGCCAGGTGTGGAAGTGGCATCTTTGAAATTGAAATTTCACTACACACGCTGTAGTGATGAAGGAATAAGAATATACTCCGAAACGTTGTGTCCATCACAATGAAGAAGGTGACATCAATATAATCATTTGTTAAACAACTTTTTATGAAGGTCTCCAAAATTGTGAGACAAATCATCAGAGTTGGTGTAGATTTCACATGACTGTGCAAAATTTGGTTTTGTTGAAATTATTAGATTTTGTGTTAGTGAGCAATTCATCGGTCTCACATGAAATCAAACAGACTGTAAGTCATGTACAACCATAGCTGCTGCTGTCAGTTTGAGAGGGTCGGGGTCCCAGGGTGACACAATTTGCTAAGCAGGCCAGACACCTATGATTGTGGGTACAAATTCACACTCACCCCAGTTTTGTGTTGAGGTTTGTCTGCACTGTAATCCTGCATGTCGATGTGACCAGGTCTGATACGTGTGAGAACTGTTTCCCTCAGGCTAACCTACCACATGAGGCTAGGGGGCTGAGATGTAACTGGATTACTAGGATGTTAAAGGCATTATGTCACAACACACTTCTCTAAAAAGAATTCTAAGATGCCTAGCGGTTAGAACAATAAAAAAAACCAAACATTATCAGACAATAAAGGTATAGTTTTTGATGACGTATCAATTGAATGACGTTATCCCGTCACTGCGCCATTCTGGTGTGCCCCCTCGTAATCGAACCATTTTACATTACGTCACAATGTAAGCAACGTCACGAGGCATGTCAGTTGTCATCGCCTCGTACAGCCTCCTACAGTAAACTACTCCGTTGCATCCCGTTTCTTGGTTTGCAGTTGCTTCACGCAGCTAACATAACTGGTGGAAACATTACGTTTATGTTTTACGACGGTTAAAATGTGTCAATTCGACTCACAAGTTTTCAGCGACACGGTAACGTTTGCAATGTTTACATTCCCACAATGCAATCGTGGAATGTCGCTTCACTACTCAGCTTCATCTGGATGTACTGATCTAAACTTACGTTGGTAGTAGAAATGCGACGTTCATATTGCCCCATATGGTTTACGTTAATGACAGATGTAATTAAAATAATTCAGAGAAGATATTTAATCCGAATGTAAACCGTCATCAAACTGTTATCATGTTTTTTTCTGGTAACGTTCGTCTTAATGTAGGGGGGCAGACACATCAACAGAACAGCACGCCTGTTAGCCCTGTGCGAGGGTTCTTATTTAGGTGCCTTAAATTAATTGTAATTATCCTTAGAATTTTATTTTTTTTAATTTGGCATCTTAGAAAATAAATACAGTTTGCTCTACCACCATGTTTAGTGTAATAAAGCTATTATAACGTTAAAGCACTCGGACGCAAGCGTCCAAGCGTAACTATAATAGTTCAAGACGAAAGTGTGTTTTATTACACTATACATGGTGGTAGAGCGAACTATTTCTTCTTAATTAATGCATTTCTCTCAATAAATACCCGTGAAGATCCGGGTTAGAACTGATCTTCAGTAACCCATGCTTGGCATAAGAGGCGACTAACGGGATCGGGTGGTCAGGCTCGCTGACTGAGTTGACACATGTCATCGTATCCCAATTTTGTAGATCAATGTTTATCTGTTGATCCCTGGATTGTCTGGTCCAGATCAGATTATTTAAAGACCGCCTGAGTGTGATGTAAAAGTAAACTTACTCACTCACTCACTAAATCGACTCTCACGCCCTCCAGCAGCCAAACAATTTTCAAGAGAACCCCATAAAGTTGGGGAGCGCTCTTTATGAATATCCAATGCACAACTTCTGATTGAAACAAGCAAATACCGACAACAGCGTGCAACAGTTTTCGATGTACCGAGCATTTGTGTACATGAAATATATGGCAAGTGTTTCTGTTTGGAACTGTTCGCCTCGAAGTTTTGATTATCGATTTCAGGCAAGTCATAAGGGATAATAAGTCTTCTATGTGCTAAAATGAGTGCATATGCCAGAATATATATAAAGTAGGTCAAAATATTGTCGAAAATGTGTGACATTGTGCCTTTGAACCCGAGTTAAACTCACTGTTGACAGAATAGGTCTTGAATACAAATAATTGTTCTTCAGATCTGCTTCCCGACTCAGACTACCGTGTTCGACTCGCTGCTGCTACTAGTGAAGGATACCATAACTTCCCGGACAGTGAGTGGCCGTGGACAACCATCAGGACCAGGCAGGAATCTGCTTCAGAAAACAGTGAAGGTAGCTAGCATTGTCTAATGTAGATGACCACTGTCTAATGTAGATGACCGCTGTCTACTGTAGATGACCGCTGTCTACTGTAGATGACCACTGTCTAATGTAGATGACCACTGTCTAATGTGAGGTGAGGTGAGGTGAAATTGGGTTTTACGTCGTGCTTGAGAATATTTCGCTCATATGACGACGTGCATGCGAGTGTATGTGTATGTGCGGCTGCTTCTACTAGCCCAGACTAGGCTGGTTTTATAGTGCTAGCCCACTGAGATACCATGTCGCTGAGATACCCCACTCACACACATTATACTGACTCCGAGCTGATCAGTCCTTGTTGTACCCATTAATGCCGAGAGCCAGACAGAGACCAACAAGTACCAAATTTTAACGTCTTCTGGTATGACGCGGTCGGGGATCGAACCCGCGACCTTCCGCTCTCCGGCTGTCTAATGTAGATGACCACTGTCTAATGTAGATGACCGCTGTCTACTGTAGATGACCGATGTCCACTGTAGATGACCACTGTCTAATGTAGATGATCACTGTCTTATGTAGATGACCACTGTCTACTGTAGATGTAGATGACTGCTGTCTAATGTAGATGACTGCTGTCTAATGCAGATGACCGCTGTCTTATGTAGATGACCACTGTCTACTGTAGATGTAGATGACTGCTGTCTAATGTAGATGTCTGCTGTCTAATGCAGATGACCGGTGTCTAATGTAGATGACCCCTGTCTAATGTAGATGACCGCTGTCTAATGTAGATGACCACTGTCTAATGTAGATGACCACTGTCTAATGTAGATGACAGCTGTCTAATGTAGATGACCGCTGTCTAATGTAGATGACTACTGTCTACTGTAGATGACCGGTGTCTAATGTAGATGACTGTCACATGTCACAACTACAATATTTATCTCCTGGTATGTGCTTGCACCAGTATAGGTACAAACTACAATATTTATCTCCCGGTATGTGCTTGCTGATGACCTTCACCCTTCACCTGCAGCCCATGTGAACCTGAACGTGACGGTTGATGAGATCAACATGACGACCACCAAGGTGAGCTGGCTGTACCCACGGAAACTGCGGCTGTCCAAGCAGGTCATCTTCCTGCGCAACCTGAAGCGGAGTGACGGCATGCAGATGTACAGTTTGGCCATCTACCGCAGGGAAATCACCTTCACAAACCTCGGTGAGCTGGAACTCTGCCCCGTCCTTGTAACAGGCAACCATGTCTACCGTTTACCTCCTGGTGTCAGATGTACAACCATGATGATATATGTCTTAAAATCAGGTTTTCTTGGGTAACACAGACTCAAATACCTTATCCCTCCTGTGTGATACATACCCCAATATCATGTTGTCCAGGGTGATATGGATTCTTATACTATGTTGTCCCAAGTGACACAGACCCCAATATCATGTTGTCCAGGGTGATATGGATTCTTATACTATGTTGTCCCAAGTGACACAGACCCCAATATCATGTTGTCCAGGGCGATATGGATTCTTATACTATGTTGTCCCAAGTGACACAGACCCCAATATCATGTTGTCCAGGGCGATATGGATTCTTATACTATGTTGTCTCAAGTGACACAGACCCCAATATCATGTTGTCCAGGGTGATATGGACTAGTATACCATGTTGTCCCAAGTGACACAGACCCCAATATCATGTTGTCCAGGGTGATATGGATTCTTATACCATGTTGTCCCAAGTGACACAGACCCCAATATCATGTTGTCTAGGGTGAAATGGACTAGTATACCATGTTGTCCCAAGTGACACAGACCCCAATATCATGTTGTCCAGGGTGATATAGACTAGTATACCATGTTGTCCCAAGTGACACAGACCCCAATATCATGTTGTCCAGGGTGATATGGACTAGTATACCATGTTGTCCCAAGTGACACAGACTCCAATATTATGTTGTCCAGGGTGATATGGACTAGTATACCATGTTGTCCCAAGTGACACAGACCCCAATATCATGTTGTCCAGGGTGATATGGACTAGTATACCATGTTGTCCCAAGTGACACAGACTCCAATATTATGTTGTCCAGGGTGAAATGGACTAGTATACCATGTTGTCCCAAGTGACACAGACCCCAATATCATGTTGTCCAGGGTGATATAGACTAGTATACCATGTTGTCCCAAGTGACACAGACCCCAATATCATGTTGTCCAGGGTGATATGGACTAGTATACCATGTTGTCCCAAGTGACACAGACTCCAATATTATGTTGTCCAGGGTGATATGGACTAGTATACCATGTTGTCCCAAGTGATACATACCCCAATATTATGTTGTCCAGGGTGATATGGATTCTTATATCATGTTGTCCCAAGTGACACAGACCCCAATATCATGTTGTCCAGGGTGATATGGATTCTTATACTATGTTGTCCCAAGTGACACAGACCCCAATATCATGTTGTCTAGGGTGATATGGACTAGTATACCATGTTGTCCCAAGTGACACAGACCCCAATATCATGTTGTCCAGGGTGATATGGATTCTTATATCATGTTGTCCCAAGTGACACAGACCCCAATATCATGTTGTCTAGGGTGATATAGACTTATACCATGTTGTCCCAAGTGACACAGACTCCAATATCATGTTGTCCAGGGTGATATGGACTAGTATACCATGTTGTCCCAAGTGACACAGACCCACTGTTTGCGTTACTGCAAAAACCTGTGTGTTTCACGCAAATATATCTACATTTCATGAGCAATATTTCTACCTGCATGTTCTGCACGCAAAGCATTTTGTCTTCTGGGAACAAATAACCGAAAAACGTCTTTTCAGCAAGGAAAATAAAATAAAGATTCTCTCGGTTTATTTAACTTGCGAATGATGACAACATGCTCTGAAATGCAAGAAAATGACGTCCAAATTTCAAAATTTTACAAGGAGCCCGGCCTCCGGGAGAGCCCTCGCCACTTTCTGGCTCGGGCATACACGTGAGGTGCATTGCACACGCAGTAGTTTGGGGGCTATGCGTCTTAGGAACGCAAAGTTTTTCTTCCTACCGCGAACACTGCAGACCCCAATATCATGTTGTCCAGGGTGATATGGACCATGTTGTCCAAGTGCTACAGACCCAGTACCAGGTACCCTTGGTAGTGTATTTGCTGTACCTGGTTTGACTACACATTTTATCTTACCTCACACATAAATGTCGCTTTCTGATTGGCTGAGTGCTCTTCTATTATTTTCAATGTACCCCGCTGACAAGCGAGTAACATTTCAATGTACCCTGCTGTCAATGGCAATTCATTTGGTACTTCGTGATAATTCTAGATCTGTATCTCAAATTACATTGAATCACTTATGATGTATGGAAATTACCGATGTTTTGCGAATGCAAATCGATGGAAGGGAGATAACTCTAAATCTGTTTTCTTGTCAGCAAAATCTAGCGATGGCTACACAAAGATTTGTACCCATGCTTCAAACAATTCAGAATTAACATTAAGGTGTTCGGTAAGATAAATACGTTGTTCACTGGTACCTCGGGGCCCATGGATTGATGTGCCTTCCATGTCTGTTTATGTTCCCCTCGTCCTTCGGTCTCAGGGAACATAAACAAAAATCGAGGGTACATCAACCCATGTCCCCCTCGTGACCAGTGAACAACTTATAATGTTCTGTCTCTTGCTGATCAGACCAACATACACACACACTCACACTGTGCTTGTACATAATTTTATTGTATATGCCTTGGTGATATCTTGACATCATAATAACTACTAAACTGAGTTTATTTGCTTTCACAGATTCTTTGTAAATTGTCACACATTATATTGTCAATATTGTCCTTGTAGATTTCCATTATGTTTTGCACCCAGTCCATGTGTACGTCACTGTGTGACTATTATTGTTGTTAGGGAGTGGCATTGATAAAAGCATGTTTATGCTTGTTTGCCAATCCCGTCATGATTACATGAATACATATGTTTAAACCACACTATCTTGTATATTTCAGAGCCAGACACCACGTACCAGTTCTTCGTTCTCGGAGAGCATGAGCACCAGAAGATCGCCTTTGTAACCAGCATCTTCCACACATTGTCCAACAGAACCAAATACGATGTACCCAGTCACCTGGCTGGTAATGCCCTCCTCCCTAACGTCATCTCCATCACGTGGAACTACCTCGGCGACAACAGCCATGACGTCACTCAATACATTGTCCGATATAAACCCATAAACCTGGAACATAGATGCTCCAAAGACGAGAAGACCTTCAGAACGTGAGCACACAAGATTGTGACCTGAGCAGTCCTTGGCGGATCCAAAGGGGAGGGGAGGAATGTGACCTGAGCAGTCCTTGGGGATCCAAAGGGGAAGGGAGGAATGTGACCTGAGCAGTCCTTGGCGGATCCAAAGGGGAGGGGAGGGATGTGACCTGAGCAGTCCTTGGGGATCCAAAGGGGAGGGGAGGGATGTGACCTGAGCAGTCCTTGGGGATCCAAAGGGGAGGGGAGGAATGTGACCTGAGCAGTCCTTGGCGGATCCAAAGGGGAGGGGGGATGTGACCTGAGCAGTCCTTGGGGATCCAAAGGGGAGGGGGAGGATGTGACCTGAGCAGTCCTTGGGGATCCAAAGGGGGAGGGGAGGGAAGGATGTGACCTGAGCAGTCCTTGGGGATCAAAGGGGGGGGAGGATGTGACCTGAGCAGTCCTTGACGGATCCAAAGGGGAGGGAGGGATGTGACCTGAGCAGTCCTTGGGGATCCAAAGGGGAGGGGAGGGATGTGACCTGGGCAGTCCTTGGAGATCCAAAGGGGAAGGGAGGGATGTGACCTGAGCAGTCCTTGGGGATCCAAAGGGGAGGGGAGGGATGTGACCTGAGCAGTCCTTGGGGATCCAAAGGGGAGGGGAGGGAGGAGAGGGTGTTCAGGTTTTTTCCCCCTTTTGAAAATGACTGAAGTACACGTTGGAAGTTAATGTTTTGCATTGGCGGAGCCAAGGGGGGGTTCAGGGGTTAGACCCCTCCCCTTTGAAATTCCTTGATCTGCCTATGGCATTGTTGTTGTGGTTCGTTAAAAGAAACTGTGGATTTCTGCCCTATATCTTTATCTTTTATATCGTTTATAGTCAGCTTCTTTGATGGGTATTTTAGACGTTGAGGTGATCAGGAAAATGATATATGTTTATAGTCAAGTTGATACAGTTTCATTGGGAGAACAAAATTGATGTATACTGCAATGGAAATTCTTCAAAGTATAAATAATGAATGTATCGCCAAAGATTAATGTTATTAATTTCATGGAAATGAAACAGCAGTGTAATCATCCAGAAATCCATGACTCACATATTAAACTTCGCCAAGGTAAATCCACCACTGAAATACTGCTCCAAAGTGAGTCAAACCATACTCACTCACTCACTCATGTGGTGAATACTCACCTCCACATCTCGCATCTAGCTGATAGGCAATGCCACAATTGAAATACTGCTCCAAGCTGAGTCAAACCATACTGACTCACTCACTGTCTGTTGTCACAGCCGTACCCAGGAGGCATCCCTGGCCAACCTGGAACCTTTCACCTTCTACAACATCTCCGTGTGCGCCGTCTTTGACGACAGCAGATCCCAGTTCAGTGAGCCCATTGTCGTGCGCACCCTGGAGGATGGTAAGTGTTGCCATGGCTACCCTATACCTCTGTATGTATTATTTTACACTATATACTTCCATAGCAAGTTGATAACAAGTTTAATGTCAAGTTGATAACAAGTTAAGTTGATAACAAGTTTAATGTCAAGTTGATAACAAGTTTAATGTCCAGTTGATAACAAGTTTAATGTCAAGTTGATAACAAGTTGATAACGAGTTTAATGTCAAGTTGATAACAAGTTTAATGTCCAGTTGATAACAAGTTTAATGTCCAGTTGATAACAAGTTTAATGTCCAGTTGATAACAGGTTTAATGTCCAGTTGATAACAAGTTTAATGTCAAGTTGATAACAAGTTTAATGTCAAGTTGATATCAAGTTGATAACAAGTTTAATGTCAAGTTGATAACAAGTTTAATGTCCAGTTGAAAACAAGTTGATAACAAGTTTAATGTCAAGTTGATAACAAGTTGATAACAAGTTTAATGTCCAGTTGGTGTATACTTGTGTCTAAGTGTACCCTGATGAAGATGTATAGCCACCCATTCTTGGAAATCATGAGAAACCATAACAGAGATTCTGGTACCCTATGTTAGCTGGTATTATTGTTTAGAGCCGAAAACATACAAGACGTTTCAGAGGCATTAGCGTTGCTGTTATTGAAAGATTTGAACCAGACTCACTCACTCACTGTCTTTTAGTGGCCTCTCCTCCGGAGAACGTTGAGGCAGTAGTTATCTCCCCTGGTGAGGTGCAACTGCAGTGGAAGCCACCTCACCATCCCAACGGCAACATCAAAGGTCATGTCATCTCCTACAATATCGAGGTTATTCAGCATCCACCATGGACTGAACTGTACCAGGCTGGTAAGTAACACGGCTCGCATGGAACACAAATGTTACAGGCCTGTAAGAGTTGTGTATCCATGTTACAGGCCTGTAAGAGTTGTGTATCCATGTTACAGGCCTGTAAGAGTTGTGTATCCATGTTACAGGCCTGTAAGAGTTGTGTATCCATGTTACAGGGCAGTAAGAGTTGTGTATCCATGTTACAGGCCTGTAAGAGTTGTGTATCCATGTTACAGGGCAGTAAGAGTTGTGTATCCATGTTACAGGGCTGTAAGAGTTGTGTATCCATGTTACAGGGTTGTAAGAGTTGTGTATCCATGTTACAGGGCAGTAAGAGTTGTGTATCCATGTTACAGGGCAGTAAGAGTTGTGTATCCATGTTACAGGGCAGTAAGAGTTGTGTATCCATGTTACAGGGCTGTAAGAGTTGTGTATCCATGTTACAGGGCTGTAAGAGTTGTGTATCCATGTTACAGGGCAGTAAGAGTTGTGTATCCATGTTACAGGGCTGCAAGAGTTGTGTATCCATGTTACAGGGCAGTAAGAGTTGTGTATCCATGTTACAGGGCAGTAAGAGTTGTGTATCCATGTTACAGGCCTGTAAGTGTTGTGTATCCATGTTACAGGGCTGTAAGAGTTGTGTATCCATTTTACAGGGCTGTAAGAGTTGTGTATCCATGTTACAGGCCTGTAAGAGTTGTGTATCCATGTTACAGGGCTGTAAGAGTTGTCGATTCCATGTTACAGGGCTGTAAGAGTTGTGTATCCATGTTACAGGGCTGTAAGAGTTGTGTATCCATGTTACAGGGCTGTAAGAGTTGTGTATCCATGATACAGGGCTGTAAGAGTTGTGTATCCATGTTACAGGGCTGTAAGAGTTGTGTATCCATGTTACAGGGCTGTAAGAGTTGTGTATCCATGTTACAGGGCTGTAAGAGTTGTGTATCCATGTTACAGGGCATTAAGAGTTGTGTATCCATGTTACAGGGCTGTAAGAGTTGTGTATCCATGTTACAGGGCTGTAAGAGTTGTGTATCCATGTTACAGGGCTGTAAGAGTTGTGTATCCATGTTACAGGGCTGTAAGAGTTGTGTCGCCATGTTACGGGTCAGTAAGAACAGTACATCCATGTTACAGGGCATTAAGAGGTATGTATCCATGTTACAGGGGAAGAGCCATGTTACAGGTCAGTAAGAACAGTACATCCATGTTACAGGGCATTAAGAGGTATGTATCCATGTTACGGGGCAGATCCATGTTACAGGTCAGTAAGAACTGTATCCATGTTACAGGGCAGGACACTTCCGCGGTGGTGCAGAACCTGACTGGCCGGACGTACTACTTCCGTGTACAAGCGTGTAATGGGGCGGGCAAGGGGATACCGTCCACCAAGCTCATTGTACACATGGAGAACTTCAACACACCAGGTAATAGGACGTGGAGCTCAAGAATAAATCTTTGTTGACAAACAGTACTCTTGTTAGGACTAATTTCTCTGTCCTCAGCTGTGATATTGCTTGAGTATTACTAAGAGTGGTGCAAAACCTTATTCACTCACTCTATAAGAGTCAATGATTCTGACTGTACCATGAGCATGTGTTTATGAATCATCCTGAAATAGGGATGATGCCAGGTGTTCACAGAAAGCTGAGTGAACCTTTCTCATTAGTGGTGCTTGTCATAAACACTTGCAAATACAAGTCAATTATTTGCCTTAAAAAACAACAACGCAGTAATGGGTGGTGGTACAAACCAAAACAGAGAATTGTATTTGGCATTATTTTGTCACTTGGAAATCCACATTTCTCCCTCAAAATGTTCTGAAAAGCTTTTGGGGTAGCCTAGTGGTTAAAGCGTTTGCTCGTCATGCTGAAAACCCGGGTTCGATTCCTCACATGGGCACAATGTGTGAAGCCCATTTCTGGTGTCCCCTGCTGTGATATTGCTGGAATATTGTTAAAAGCGGCATAAAACCAAACTCACTCACTCACTCTGAAAGCTTTACTGGGGCTTTAATGTTGTGACCTTGATCAAGTAGCTAAGCCAGATCAAGTGAGAAATTTGTAGAAAATGTTGCTGGAGTAAGTTTTGCAAGTAGTTTGGGGGATTAATTATTTTTACCGCCCCTGATCAACGTTCTGATTGTCAGGCCACAGATATTACTGCTGTACAACTTGGGCAGTGTCGGAGGAACATACCTGTCAACTCTCACGCATTTGGCGTGAGTCTCATGCTTTATTGACAAATGTCACGCTCTAACGCCTCCAAATAATAATCTCACGCATATCTGGTAGCCAAAAATAATTTCAAAATTAGTACGCATTTTCGTTCGTTTTTGCGTAAAGTTGAACATTGAAATAACGCCTGAATGAACGAAGTACTAAAACGATGTTTATGCGAATGATTCGGCTTATTATTATTTATTAGCATGCATCTTTGAGTGTCAAAATAATGCCACCAGAAGGCTCCAAATGCTCCTGAAAATCACTAAACTTCATTTTCGGGGGCGGGGGGCTTTGCCCCCAGAGACCCCCCACCAGGGCATCGCCCTTGACATGACCCCGGCTGGACCCCGGCTTATTTTTTTCAGTCTCACTCCAAACCATCTTTAGGGGTTGACAGCTCTGGAGGAAGCATTTGGACAATATGATTTGAGAATATTTATGTGTGTGATTATTCTATGTCTATATCATCACTAACAAATCAAATGTAACTTGATGTCATCTGGACATTGCAGAACATAGGACCCTCTCGGATCAGCAGCTCGGAATCCTGGGAGGAGTGGGGATCGGCCTCACCAGCATCATCGTCACCATTATCTTCATCTTCTGCAAACAGAGGTGACACTGACATGACCGTTGTGGGAGTATCTGAAGTGCTTACTGTACCCAGCATCTGGCAGTCTTCATGCTGTTGTAAGGGGCGGTGGGGTAGCCTAGTGGTTAAAGCGTTCGCTCGTTATGCCGAAAACCCGGGTTCGATTCCCCACATGGGTACAATGTGTGAAGCCCATTTCTGGTGTCCCCTGCCGTGATATTGCTGGAATATTGCTAAAAGCGGCGTAAAACCCAAAACTCACTCACTCACTCACTCACTCATGCTGTTGTAGCATTGGTGTCAGAGTTGACTGGCGAATGTGGGCACATACTGAGATGATAGAAGGCATTAATGAAACTTTTTTCAAATGACTGATTAACCCTGATTAAATCTTTGACTTATCTTTATTAGTCTGTGTCTGACCCCGATTAAGTCTGTCTGACCCCGATTAAGTCTGTGTCTGAACCAGATTAAGTCTGTGTCTGACCCCGATTAAGTCTGTGTCTGATCCGGATTAAGTCTGTGTCTGACCCCGATTAAGTCTGTCTGATCCAGATTAAGTCTGTCTGATCCAGATTAAGTCTGTGTCTGATCCAGATTAAGTCTGTGTCTGATCCAGATTAAGTCTGTGTCTGATCCGGATTAAGTCTGTGTATGACCCCGATTAAGTCTGTGTCTGATCCGGATTAAGTCTGTGTCTGACCCCGATTAAGTCTGTCTGATCCAGATTAAGTCTGTCTGATCCAGATTAAGTCTGTGTCTGATCCGGATTAAGTCTGTCTGATCCAGATTAAGTCTGTCTGATCAGGATTAAGTCTGTGTCTGATCCGGATTAAGTCTGTCTGATCCAGATTAAATCTGTGTCTGATCCGGATTAAGTATGTCTGATCCAGATTAAGTCTGTCTGATCCGGATTAAATCTGTCTAATCCAGATTAAGTCTGTGTCTAATCCAGATTAAATCTGTCTAATCCAGATTAAGTCTGTGTCTGATCCAGATTAAGTCTGTGTCTGATCCAGATTAAGTCTGTGTCTGATCCGGATTAAGTCTGTCTGATCCAGATTAAGTCTGTGTCTGATACAGATTAAGTCTGTGTCTGATCTGGATTAAGTCTGTCTGATCCGGATTAAGTCTGTCTGATCCAGATTAAGTCTGTCTGATCCAGATTAAGTCTGTGACTTATCTTCATTAATTGATTGCGTGTCATAGTACCCTGTTGATGTAGATTTTTGTTGATTATGTCAATCTGTGGTTTGTCTGGTCCAGACTTGAACACTTGCAGGCTGTCACAATACACCTGTAGTGTTGCTGAGTGTGGCGGTGAATGACATCGAAACAAAGACTAACCACAGCACCAAACTTCATCCACTCACTTAGTGGATGTTCCTGGTGGACTTTTCTTTGAAACTTAGCGACCGTTCATAATTTATGGCAAGGGGGTTGATGATGATTTCTGTGGAGAAGCATGTACAATGTGCCCCCTAAAATTTATGTACAAACTAAGTGACCCCCACTGCATGTCATGTAAAAAATCAATGATCCCCCCCATAATTTGTAACATTTTTATGTACCAAATTGCTAACGCCATAGTACATGTGAACAAAATCGATGACTTCCTCTCCAAACAAAATGGGTTTAAAATCATCATCCCCTCCCATAGCCATAACTTACGAACAGTCCCTGAGCCAAGCATGAACTTGAACTAATGCTGGGCGGTCTCTCCCCAGGCACTTCTACAGACATCATGCCTTGGCTGCAGAGCATCATGCTGCGCAGACCATTGCTGTAGAGGCCGGAACTCCCACTGCAA